TATATATTCTGGGTATTAATTCCTTGTTGGAGGTATAGTTTGCAGATATTTTCTCCCATTCTGTAGGTTGTCTTTTCACTCTGTTAATTGTTTCCTTTGCTCTTCAAAAGCTTTTTAGTTTGATATAATCCTATTTGTTTTCTTTTGTTGCCTGTGCTTTTGGGGCCTTATTCATAAAGTCTTTGCCCAGTCCTCTTTAATTTCTTTCAGTAGTGATTTGTAGTTCTTATTGTAGAGATATTTCACCTCCTTGGTTAAATTGATTCCTAGGTGTTTTATTTTTGGAGGTAGCTATTGTAAATGGGCTTGCTTTCATGATTTCTTTTTCTGCTAGTTCCTTGTTAGAGTATAAAAATGCTGCTGATTTTTGTATATTGATTTTGTATCCTGCAACTTTACTGAGTTCATTTATCAGCTCTGAGAGGTTTTGGGTAGAGTCTTTAGGTTTTTCTATAGGATCATGTATTCTGTGAACAGGGACAATTTGACTTCATCTTTTCCAGTTTGGATGACCTTTCTTTCTCTTGCCCGATTGCCCTGGCAAGTACTTCCAATACTGTTAAATAGGAGTGATGAGAGTGAATATCCTTGTCTTGTTCCTGTTCTTGATATTGGATGATATTGGTGGTGGGTTTGTCATATATGGTTTTTATTGTGTTGAGATATTTTCCTTCTATGCCTAGTTTGTTGAGAGTCTCTATCATAAAGGGATGTTGAATGCTTTTTCTGCAACCATTGAGATGATCATATGATTTTTGTCCTTGATTTTGTTGATGTGGTTTATCACATTTATTGATTTGCATATGTTGAACTATCATTGCATCCCTGGGATAAGCATAATCTTTTTGATGTGTTGCCATATTCTGTTTGCTATTTTTTTGAGGATTTTTGAATCTATGTTCATCAAGATTATTGGCCTGTAGCTTTCTTTTTTGTGTTGTATCTTTGTCTGATTTCAGTATCAGGATGATGTTGGTTTCCTAGAATGAGTTTGGGAGAGTAGCTTTTAATTTTTTGGAATAGTTTGAAAGGGATTGATATTATTTCTTCAATATACAGCAGTGAAGCCATCCAGTTCTGAGCTTTTCTTTGTTGGGAGGCTGCTGATTACTACTTCAATCATGTTGCTCATTATTGTCCAGGATTTTTATTTCTTCATGCTTCAGTCTTGGTATTTTGTATGTGTCCAGAAATTTATCCATTTCTTCTAGGTTTTTGAATTTGATGGCTTATAGGTGTCTATAACAGACTCTAATGATTCATTGTATTTCTGTGTTATCAGTATCAGTTGTAATGTCTCCTTTTTCATTTCTGATTTTTGCTATTTGGGTCTTCTCTCTTCTTTTTTTTTTTTTGGTTAGTCTAGCTTATACTTTGTCTATTTTTCTTATATTTTCAAAAAACTAATTTTTTGCTTCATTTATCTTTTGTATCTTTTTTTGGTGTCTATTTCATTTATTTCTGCTCTAATCTTAATTATTTCTTTCCACCTTCTAGTTTTGGTGTTGGATTGTTCTAATTTTTCTAGTTCTTTGAGGTGTAATATTAGGTTATTTATTTGAAGTCTTTCTATTCTTTTGATGTAAGCATTTATTGCAATAAAATTCCCCCTTAGTACTGTTTTTGCAGTATCCCATATGTTTTGGTATGATGTGTCTTTATTTTCATTAGTTTCAGGAATTTTTTTGATTTCCTGTTTAATTTCTTCTTTGATCCATAGGTTGTTCAGGAGCATGTTGTTTAATTTCCATGTATTTGTATAGTTTCCAAAGATTCATTTGTTATTGATTTCTAATTTTAATCCATTGTGGTCTGAAAAGATAATTGAAATGATCTCAGTTTTTTAAAGTTTGCTGAGACTTGATTTGTGACCTAACGTGGTCTGTCCTGGAGAATGTTCCATTTGCTTCTGGAGGATGGGCAGGACTGGCAAGCAGGCTTGCAGTGAAGTGACCCCTCCAGCTGCTTCTAGGCAGTGGCTGGGACTGTTAGGCAAGTGCAATAGCTTGTCTAGCTGCCACTGGGCAGTGGACATGGCTGCTAAGACATCCTATAGTGAAGGGGCCAGTGCAGCCACTTCTGGGACAGTTGGCAAGGCTGGTAGATGGTTCTGTTCAGGATGGAACCACCCGGATACTCCTTTGGGAGGGGCAGATATACTTTATTTCCACTGGCTTGGGGCATATTTGTTAGGATGGTGAACTGTGAGCTCTTTTTCTGGCTTGGGAGCTCAGGGGAACATAACTCAGCTGGTAGGACTGGAGGTAGGTGAAGGAATGGAGTGTGGTACACTTGAGGAGGATCTGCCTATCAGATCTCTGGCCAGGGACATGGGAGAGCATCAGTTCAGCAGGACTAGGGTTGGCTTCCCAGACTGCAGAACAGAGTCATGGCCACTGTGAGCCCAGGCTTCAAGCTACCTGGATCAGGGCATTATAGCCTCTGTGCTGGGTGGTGGGCAGAACCTTAAGGCTGGGAAAACGCCATGGCTAATGGATCCAGGTCAGGGTGCGCTCCTGTAACAGCTCCAATTTCAAAATGACACTGTCCTGCATCCGATTGAGTCCTGTGAGTATGGGGGTGGGGAGTGCACAGTTTGTGCTAGTGTTCTAGAGTGATGCAGTGTGTGTATTCTTGTCTGCTCCTCACACTTGGCTTGGGGCTTGTCCTGTCAAAGGATCTGCGGGCCTTTGTGGTGAGGAAGGGGGTTGTTGTGGGTCCTCTGCCTATCTTTTAGCCACAAGGGAAAATTCTTCCTGCGTTGATCCTGGTGTTGCAGACGTAGTGGCTGAGCCCATGTGCCTCTCTTGTCTCTCTCTGCCATCATCCTGGACTTGTGTGCTCCACAGGGATCTCACCACTCTTCTGCTGCACTCCCACACTCTTCCACTGATGCTACTGTCAATATATAGCTTTTAGTTCTGGTCCTTTTCTGTGAGTGGAATGTGCCTTGGGCACCTCTAATTCACCATCTTGCCCTGCCTCCTAATTTTGCTGCTTTTGACTCATGGTGACCACAAGCCAATAACTCACTTAGCTTTGCCTTGCCTTGTCTTTTTATCTGTACATGGGGTACATGCTAAGTACCCCTCTAGTAAACTTCCAGTGAAGATATGAAGTTGAATTGCATGTGATACTTAATAGCCATTTCGTTTTTTCAGTAGAGAAGTTATTAATTTTTTACAAATGAACAAGGTAAAAACGACTGACCTGTGAAAAAAATTTGACTTGTTTTCATTCTGCAGTTTATATGTCCAATGAGTGTGAAATCCACGTATCTTGGTGTCTGTGTGTAATGTGTTGTGGAAGCAAGAACAGAAGAAACGGGAGGAAGATGATTGCTGTTAGAGTGTTGTGTGGTGAGATGGTAAAATTGGCTAACAGAGGGATTAAAGTCAAGGCAGACAATTGTCCGATGAAAGATATAGAGACCTTCTTTAATGTGCACACAAAAAAATAACTTGGATGCTATAACAAAATGTTAATAAAGGCAGAAACTTGTTCTGTTAACTCAGATAAGATATTTTGGGTCAATGACTTCTTATACTTAGAATCTGGATGATCCCAGGTCTGAGTCCTGGCCCAGTTTATTACTAATGATAAATATATGATTTTGGGTAAATTACCAACTTCTCTAACTAAGTTTCCTCGTTGACTGCACTGAGCTGTTAGTCCACCTCACAATGTTGTTAAAGGAATTGACAAAGACAATATATGGGAAAGAAATCTGCTCATTATACTTTTAGCAACGTGGGTGTGTTACTACTATTAATCCTAATC